AGTTTGCAAAAAGTCACTAATATGACAATAAGTTCCAATTTTTCAAAAGAATTATAGAAACAGTGTCCACATTGATATATTTCAACAACTTTTATATCTAGACAAGAAGCCATAGATAAAGGGGGTATGCTGGACATACTCAAAAATTGGGAGGCTCCTTTTGTAAATAGAATATCCTTTATGTGGTGGTTAAAATATACTCCCAACTTCATGAGGTTTGTAAAATCTCACGTGCATGAAAAGTCATTTTGAAATAATATTATTTTAATGCACCCATTTATCATACAAATACATGCAATTATTCAAGAATTTAGAACAAGAGTTTACTTGCACTCTACCCCCAAAACAATAAAAACTTAGAAAAAAGTGGGGTATGAAGCTCACCTTGGTTTAGTTGTTGGGTGATTTGAAGAGATGTAAGGAGTTTCCAAGTTCCAACACTTGGAAGTTTCTTTGAACTTAGAAATATCCTAAGAATAATTTTTGTGTAAATATAATGAAGCCTTAGGAATATTGTGAAGAATCACTAGCCAAAGAAGATGAACACTTACAAAAATTTAGGAATTTTTCTTGAAGGGATGAAACTTGGAGCTTGAAGGACTTGAGAGCACTCTTAGGAGTTTGCTGGAGATGAAAATGAGAAGTGGGGAAATGGGAGAAGAGGAGTTCACGTATTCTAAGTGGAGGGATAAGGAGTGACTTGACATTTGCTTGGAAGACTGGTGGATAACCTTATTATCTATGGGTAATATGGGTTTTACTAAGATTTGCATGGGAAAATGGAGGATTTGCATCACATCACAAAGTCAAACCTCCTTATCTACTTAGAATCCCTTTAAAATCTTGGGTATTATTTTATATAAATATGTTTAAAATAATCAATTTTGGCATAAAATAGGGGTTTAAGGGGTTTAAGATATGAAAATTACGAGTTTGGAGGAATTTCCGACGTCAAAATGCCTTAAAATGAAGAAAAAGTCTGAAATGGACAAAAATCCAGAGTGGAGTCCGGAGCCTGCGAGGGTCCGAAGCCAAGTCCAAAGTTCCGGAGTCAATCTCAAGGATCCGAAGTCAACAGACGAGTTCCGAAGTGTTTTCTCGGATTCCGAAGACCATGTGAAGTCCGGAGTGAAGCCAGTAGTCCGGACCGAGGTGCGAAGCCGGCCAGGAGGTTTTGAAGCAAAACAGGTCTTCCGGTGCGAGGTTCCGAAGCAAACATGGGCATTCTGGATTCCATCAGAAGCTCCGAAGTAGGGAGAGGGTTCCGGACCAAGAGGGTCCTTTTGGGTTTTCTCCTCCAGTTTTGAGCTGTTTTCGACTGAGGAAGGTACATAGAGAGATTTGGGAGAGATTCCACATACTTGGAGAGATTTGGGAGAGATTACATATTCTTGGAGAGATTTGGGAGAGATTTCACATACTTTGAGAGATTTCATATTCTTGGAGAGATTTGGGAGAGATTTCATATCCTTGGAGAGATTTGGGAGAGATTTCACATACTTGGAGAGATTTCATATTCTTGGAGAGATTTGGGAGAGATTTCACATACTTGGAGAGATTTGGGAGAGATTTCACATACTTGGAGAGATTTGGGAGAGAGATAGATACAGTGGGAGAGATTGAGAGAGACCTTGCCGGGGGCCTTTATTAATGTTTTTCTTCGTAGTGCAAGGTCCTTAGACTTAGTTACATTCTAATTTGAGTGTTATACACCCCCGAAGGGCACGTAATAGTGTTTTATAGAGTTGTTACTTCCCTCAATCTGATTAGGGTTTAGAATTTTGAACATTTGAAACTTTCAAGTGTTACTTTGCATTAAGATTTAGAATCATACATTAGTAAACATAAAGTAATCCCTAACATATTAGCACTAGTTGAGTTGATCAGTTGACCCGTTGACCTTGACTTGACTTTGACTTGACTAGAAGTTTGCCGGTTGTCACACATAGCTCACTAGAGGTCCATCTTCAATTGATCAAAGTTTTGTTTGGCAGGAAAATTATAAATCAAGATATACCTCTGAATACAAATAGTAACGCTGAAACATATTACAACATTTAGTAAACCTTTTACATAACCAATCTCCCCTTTTCAATTCAACCTGATCCCGATTGTCTCCTGATAAGTAATGGAGAAATTTGAAAACGATATTATTATTCAAGAGGTGAAGAAGTTTCGCAGAGGATTATTGTCAAACAGGTGGTGTGCTTCAGCTCAGAAGCATCGTAAATTAGAAACCCAATGAAGAACAATGTTATATACCTCACGAGATCAGGCCGATCACGGGCAAAGTTAAGACAAACATATTTCTGGGTGATGATTTTAGGGTTTGACATAGATGCTTAAGCATTTTACCCTGATTCAGAAGGTCGTGATTCAATCCAGAACAATCGGCCGTGAGAGTCGACGACTATGCCTCCGAGACACTCACTGCCACCACAGCAAGGTGGCAGGTAATCGACGATGGCAGCATGGCCGGCGGCCATGGCAGTCGGCGGTGATGGTGATTTGAAGACGAGGACCAAACAAAAAAAAGAGGAGAATGAATGAGGAGAACCATTACATTGGAACCGCAACTACAAGCCAAACACGTCTAGATTGACCTCTCTTTCTCTAGATTAGTACAGTTCCTCGATCACAGCTTCACCTTTCGTCCCTTCCCCCTCGTTGTTCTATGTTGAAGTCGCACCCACCAAAACCGGTTGCAATTTAAAAGTCGACGTCTACGGTAGGGTTTTAAATTAATTTTCCTAAATTAAAGGAAATAATAATTTAATTATTAAATTACCAAAATTAATTAATAGGTAAGATTACAATTTTACCCCTATCTAGGTTTTTGAAATGATTGGCTCACAATTATGCATACAATCACAATAATTAGTTATAATGCCTGAACCTATCTCTTTCTCTCTCTCTCTCTCTCTCTATATATATATATATATATATATATATATATATATATATATATATATATTCGGAAATGCATAACTAGATAACCAAATGGTTATTATAGTTTATTCTTATATATCTTTAAATTTTCAAGAGTGCACTCGTAAGGTGTAACCAACATTTGTTATGATTTGCATGATTGAAAATAAAGAACTTCACATCTTATGTATATGATTTTTTCTTCAATGTCACAGTTAAGTAGTATCTATGTATTTTAATTACTGTTATTATGGTATTAATTAATTCCTAATAATATTGTTTTGAAAACCACCTATAATTATAGATTTTGTTAAAAGTGACACTAGTAGTCAGACATATAACATCTACAAATGGATATTGCATCGTCAGATCAATAAACAGAGATATAAACTCTAGGGGTGTGCGCGGTGCGGTTTGTTGCATAAATATAAATACAAGACACAAACAAATAGGCCTTTAGCTTAGGCTAACCATGTTTGGTTTTCCTTTGGACCAAATTTAATGAGTCTCACCATGGATATTAAATTTGTGTCTAAACCATTATAGTAATAATCGTGAATGTTCATATATATATATATATATATATATAGATATATATATATATATATATATATATAATATATATATATATATATATATATACTACCAAATCACAAAGGCCTTATGAATAGTAAAGTTTCTATTGTTCAAAATTTTACCATAAAATTTTCATGAGTTTGCCACTTTTGGTCCCTCTTCCAAATAGAAACAACAAACGAGAAGAAACACCAAAATATGTAAACATGAAAAAAAAATCGGACTGCCACGAACTGCGGATCGCCTTTTAGTTTTAGATAAAACCCTCTTTTTAATCTTAAAGCATTGTTAATGGTAGATTTTTATATAGCATGTTTACTATTTAAAATGTTTTTTAGTAAGATTTTTATTATCGAAGAATAAGTTTAGATTAACCATTAGAGATGATATTACTTTTACATATATTTATACAATATGTTTCTATAATTTATTATTTACATAATTTTTTTTCATAATTTGTTTTTACAACTTAATTTTTTTATTTCATGTCATTGAGTTACAAAAGTGCAGTTGTAAAAATAAATTGTAAAACAAGTAAAAAATAAGGTTGTAAAATCGTATTGTGAAATAACTGAAGTCGTAAAAATGAATTGTGAAAAAATATATAAAACAAAGTAAAAAAACGAAGCTGTAAACATGAATTTTTAGAAAGAAAAAATATAAAATAAAGTTGTAAAAATTGTGATATATATATATATATATATATATATATATATATATATATATATATATATATATATATATACTAGTTTATAACCCGTGGGAACCACAATTATAAAATTAATTAAAATTTTATAATAAAAATTTATAATTATTAATCAATTATTTTAAATAAGTCATTTTAAATAAATTATTAATTAAGAGATATATCAAAATTTTAAAGTTATTATAATTTCAAATTTAACATATAATTAAAAAATGTAAATTTGAATTTTGAAATAAGTTGCCTAATGTATCTACATGACACATGGCATAATATTAATGATGAGTTGTATTAGAGTGACACTTGGCAAAGAGAGATTAAAACTATTAATTTATTAGAATAGAGAAGATATATATATATATATATATATATATATATATATAGAGAGAGAGAGAGAGAGAGAGACAGACAGACAGAGGGAGAGAGAGGGAGAAAAAAAGTAGGTTCAAGTATTCTAACGAAATATTGTATGGATGCAAGATTGATTGTGAGCCAATCAAAATTTCAAAAAAAAAATTAAATAAATAAATAATGATAAATTAGTAATATTACAACTATATTAATTAATATCCCAAATTAACTTATGATAACCCTTTATTTCAGGGATCAGTTTCTTATTAACCTTATTAAAATCCGCCTCCAAAACCAACGCCCGGTGAACTAAAATCGACCTCTTTCTTCCTTTACGACAATGGCGGTGGCTCAATTTGTTCATGGAAATCCCCAAAAATGACCTAATTCAACAATCATCTACTGTTAGCGTCTACTCAGTCAATTGACTCTGCTATTGAATATGCCGCGTCTTCTTCCTCGACTAAGAAATTTGCCGCCAATTGCGACAGATATCGTCCGAGAATTCGCCGGAGATTGCCTGATTCTTTGTTTACTCGGTCTGCATTGTCATTTAACAACTCTTTAGTTGGTCCTTCAAGTTCGATCTTAGTATTGCCTTGCCCTAGAAATTGGTTTTCTAACCCAAGTGATTCTTCCAATCGTGGTAATCTACTTCACTTTGTAAATTATTTTTGAATTAGCTATGTTGTAATGTATCTGTCAACAAGCGTATATTGTTTCTCGCATTACCACAAGGAACCAAGGAAATTGTTAACAGAGAAATTCAAGCTTTTGGGCACTGTTGCCACTCTAATCGGGAATAGAAATGATGAAATGATTCAGGAATTAGGATTAAGATAACGGATCTCTATAATTCAACTAATTTCATGGATTTGAAGTATCACTAACTTATAAGCGTCTTCTTTGTCATTCCTTTTTCAGATAACATAAAGACGAGGTATCCTGCAATGGGTTTTAAAGGTCATATTGTGTACAGTAGAACATTCCCAGGGGTGGAAAAAGTTGCAGATGAGCTCTTAAAGTTTGTTGAACTCAATAAAAAAGATGAAGGTCGTGCTATTATTGGATTTGACGTTGAACAGAGACCATCTTTCAAGAAAGGTTCCTATAATCATATCATAACTCAATATCCTTCTTATAACTTTTCGCATATTTTTAATTTTTTGAATCATGAAGGTGTAAAACAAGGGAAGGATGCAGTTCTACAGATATGTGCAGATGATGCAAGTTGTCATGTAATGCATATTATTCATTCTGGATTCCCTGAAAGTTTAAAGTCTCTTCTTAGGGATTCTAAATTTGTGAATGTATGTTAATGTTGTAACTTGTAAACCCGAATTGTTGAATCTAATCAGATTTTTATGAACAGGTGTGAGTGGGAATTGTTGGTGATGCTCATAAGGTTTTCAATGATCATAATGTGAGGGTAATTCTCCCAGAATTGAATCTTGAATTCAATTATGTCGTAATGGAATATCGAATTCCGATTCTATCGGAATGGAATCTCGATATTTCCTCTATGATTTGTGATTTTTGGTTATGAGTTTTGGTGCAATTCACAAGTCTGCAGATTTGTACAAAGGACTTTAGTTTTTTCTTTTTCATTTGGTAATGAATTATTCTTTTAGAATGGATTGAAGAAGGAATCAAGGATTGATCATACAAGAGAAAAACTAAGAATTGAGTTCAATAACAAGTTACATTGAAGAAGATTAAGTGTAAACAAGTCGATTATTTGGACCATTGAAGAAGATTAAGTGTATTTATTCAATAATTGTATATTTGAGAATGCTATTCTTAATAATTTTATTCATTTTGATGACATTCTGTTAGAATATGTATAATTATATTAAAATGTATCATTCTGTAAGAATATTTATGAATTTGTATTTAAGTTCGGATGTGTATGAATATATTAGGATGTTTTTTTATGCAATTTCAGGTTCAAGGATTTTATTATTTTTTATTAATATTCTAATAGAATAACATTTAACACAACAATATCATAGAACATCATTCTAATAGAATAACATTATGACATAATTAGAATTGAATTAATTAAAAAAATCAGAATTTAAAATAAGATAATCAAATATCCCTTAAAATCCGAAAATTTTCCTTTTTAAATTTGTGTTTCCTAATTTGAAAGTAATGGAAATGAACTAAAATGATTGGTCAATAATCATTCCTTACATCCACACAATAATTAGTTAGAATACAATAACCTAAGCATATATATATATATATATATATATATATATATATATATATATATATATATATATATATATATATATAAATAACAAAATAATTAATGAAGCTGCAAAAACTAATAATAAAATATAAAGGATATATTAGTAAAAAAAAAAAAAAACCTTTAAAATGTGGTCTCTTGTAATAAGAACCAAATTAACTCACAAAATCAAATGTAATGTTCTTTTAAATCTTAAATAAAATTTATTTACTAAATGAACATTGCTTAATATTAACATTAACCATATTTTTATTTATTTAAATATTAATGATAATGTTTTTTTATCGGAAATATAAATATTTTTAAAATATGATAAATTACATGAAGGAGATTTATAAATATTTAATATAGATAAATATGTATTAGTAGGAACCCAAAACACATTCCGGAGAGAAATCATAAGAATGAACTCTATGTTTTAAAAACAATGGTTTACCCCAAATCAAAAAATCTATCAGGATGATCTTGCGAAGAACTACTACGAAACTCATAATAATCATTTCCCCACACATATCTAATAGAAAACACATTTAGACGTTATAAGGTTGTCTACTCAATAAAAAGAAAGTTAATAGAATTCCCATCACATAACTTTCTCACCCAAGTTCTCTCCAACTTGCCTGAGTCCTTTGATATTCAAAGATAAAAAAAAATGCATTGACATCCATTAGCTTCAATGTTTCATAATAACTTAGTAAATGTTGGACTCATACCCTTGTATAGAGTACCATGCATGCCGCTTGCGAATGTATTATTGCAATTTATTATTACAATAAACGCATGGCATGAATCAACTCATAAAACAACTTTGCACAACATAATTTTTTTTCATAGGTAAGCATTCCATAAATATTTCGGTTATTTAAGCTTCATAATTTTAGTTTTTTAAAATTTATATATTAATTCATATGATAAGATACGTTGCTTACTAACCAGATCTTCCAGCAATATTAAAATCATATCATTACGTTTTCCGAAACTAGTATACATTTTCCTTAAAAAAAGAATGCTCAAATTCAAAACAATAATGTTAAAGTAACTTATAATTTATGTATTGAAAATTGTACATATTAGCTACAACCACATTTGGTAGTAATTATGCTTCCTTTTGAGGCCTCTTCAAATTTCCTCATTTTGACTTCATTAAGAACCTTTGAAGTCCACTCACGAAAATAAGTAGAGTTGTATCCAATTCTACCATTCTTATAGATGGACATACAACGTCGATCATCATCAGGATAGGGACAATGTTTGCCATCTGTGTCCCGCCATGACCCTTCATATTTCATCCCGGACCAACTAGCTATCCATTTGTAGACAAATTGACCGACACCGGCTAATTTGAGCCAACCCTTTGGGTAAAACTCCATGACACTACTGTTTCTATCCATTAAGAAGATATTAGTCAGCTGTGCACCATGTGGAGAAACTAATATGTCCGTTAATCCCATCAATTTTACCTGTATTATTCGTTCAGAATCAAAGGTTGGATATTTTGTACATATTTTTATTAAATATCTAGAGATAATTATAAAATAACCATTTGACTTTGAGAATCTAATACAGTTATCCAAATTTTCTATTTCTAAAATCTAAACATACATATTTCAGATTTGAATTTATGGTTACTTTATTTCGATTAATACGAAAATGTGAGATCGTTTACGCTAAGTTAAAAATCATTTTGTCAATTTCGTATTTATCCCGATATTTATGAGTAATAAATACAAGTTAAAGTGCTTCTTGATAGTTGATACAGTTATCTATGACATGTGTTGACATTTGTAACAGTTTAGAATAAAGAATTGGGGTTTTTCTTAAAACGAGATAGTTCAGTGGATGAAGATTGCCGGGTTGGGTCCGTGCTTCATTAACGAACCCCTTTTGAAGTAAGCTAAATTTTTTTAAATTAAAATAACGACTGGTAAATTGTATTATTCCTTCAAATACAATCAAAGGTACATTTAGAATATTTATTTTACATTACTAATTATATATTTGAATTATTAGATTTTTTTGAACGATGAAAATATATTAAGACAAATCTAGTAAGGCGGTAAAGAAACGTAGAGTTACATAATAATACAAGAATAAGAAAGTGAAGAGCACCAAACATACCAATTTAACAGTTAAATTTGAATCTATATTTAATTCAATTATAAAAACTTAGATGAAAAGAAAAAGCCAACATATATGCGCTGGATAATCTTTTGCCGTTCAAAAACAGATAAGTAAAAATATCTAATAATCGCGAACTAGCTTACATATTACAGTATCTTTTCTTATATATCATTTTGAACTTTTACCCAACTACGTTTTTCCTAAAATATTATAACAAAGATGTATTAACTTTTGTTAAAGAATGAGAATATGTAATCTTTTTTATAACAATTAACAAATCATAATATTAATCAAAGTTATTTATTTATTATTTAAACTTTTAACTAGACAAATAGCAATTATTTTTAACGCCTAACACATGCACACTTATTATCTACTCGGATACTCTTAAAACTACTCGTTTTGTTCACAACTGGACATGAACGTCCCTTAACCATTTGAGGAGTGAGTGACATCTTTCTACCACACATGATATCGTTAATCTACAAGCCATCTGGTATAAATAATAACCTTATATTAAAATACAACATGGATGGTATAATACAATATATAAAGACTTATCTAAAGATAAATTTCCAAATATAACAAAAATACACATCCTAGTTACCAAAAAAGAGGGTTTGCAAAAATTACCCATGAGTCTGCAAAGATCCTCTGCAGACTCGACTTTCGTACTGCATATTCGGGCTAACAATCCACAGTACTCAGCACTTTCTGTAATATGCTCTTGTATGCTCTCTGTGGACTAATGGTATCTTCGGCGATAAATTTTGATAAATCGTTTATTTTATCCAGAAAAACTTTTTTGTTTATGGAATGGAGATTTGTGTAGGTTGCGATGAAAATAGATTTGTGTTTGGATTTACTGTTTTCATTTTTTATTAGATATGATAGATAAAAATGTAAAACTACAATATTTATCTATCTATTGATTTGTTAATTTTTCAATAAATATAAAACCACAACATAAGTATAAGTAAATTACATAAATAGTCCATATGATTTGGTTAGAATTACATGTTGATCTAGCATTTGAAAAGTTGATAGATCATATCTATATGGTTTCAAGAAAATTTATGGTTTTAGTTCTTGATCTATTTAAAAATAAACTACTTTAACCATTTTTTTTTTTTCTTTTTGTTACTTATTAATTTTAATTTTGATAGAAACCTATGAGATGCTCACACATCCAACTCCGACATGGTTTCAAGAAAAGTTATGGTTGGATCTATCTAAAAATAAACTATTTTAACCTTTGTTTTATATATTTTTGTTACTTATTAATTTTGATAGAAACTTATGAAATGCTCACACATCCAACTCCAATGTTGTGTATGTGTTAAAATAGTTGCTTTTTTTTTTACTTTACATTCACACTAGTGCCATAATCCATATCACCTCCCAATGTTATAATAATCGGTATTTTAGTTGAACCGGTCAGATGAATGATTTTTGGTTCGATCATCGGTTCAGTCGGTTTAACCGCCTGTGTATATCTGAAAGTGGTGTATGTTGGCATTCAATTTATGTACATTAAAGACAACCTATTCAATTTTCTTTGGAAATGACTGTTCTTTTAATCCGTTAAGTGAAACCCAACTATTAAGTGTAAGGCTAATAAAAATGTTCAAAATGTTTATTATCGGTTCTATCACACCGGTTCAAATCGGTATTTAAAAAAATCGTCTGGTTTGATCCGATCTAGAAATTGACATAAAATCAGTCGTTGTTGAACCAATCTCGTCCCTGATTTTCGGTCCGACCGGTTCAACCGACCGGATCGAACCAGTTTTTAAAACATCGGCACCTCCTCTCTCCACCTATTTCCTCTCACCGACAGCCTAAATCCAATAGCTCTTTATGGAAATTGGATGAGAATTGGATAGGATGAGGTGGGCCATTTTTTTGTTTATAGAATTTAAAAGACAAAACTGCAAATTTAGTCCCTGTGGTATTCAAAAAACTTTGGATGGGGTCCAAAAACTTTCCCACTTGCATGGAAGGTCCAAAATCAAAACATTTCCTTGATTTTGGTCCAAAAAATCTTGAAAAGACGATTATGCCCTTTTCATTTTCTTTTTTGTATTTTTTTTATATTTTCTTTAATAATTTATTAATCAAAAATTAAAAATGAAAGAATTGGGCCCACCCCGCTCTCTCTCTCTCTCTTCTCTCCTCTCTCTCTCCCTCTCTATCCTCTCTCCTCCTCGCCTCTCCCTCTCTCTCTCTCTCTCTCTCTCTCTCTCTCTCTCTCTCTCTCTCTCCAGATCTTTTATGAATGGATGAATGAAAGGGCTGTTGATTTCTGAAGATAATCATTATTTTGAATAAACTTCTCGATTTAAGCATATACTGAAGAGGTTTAAAGTTAGGTCTTCGATTTTAACAGAGGGAGAAAGGGATGAAAGGGTGTTCGTCTTCACCAAAAGGATCTCCAGATCCTCAGTCGAAACATGATGCCGCTGACCTTCTTGTTTTTGTTTATGCTTCAAGTTGTCGATAAAGGTTTTCGTTCAAGATCTGGATTAAGAATCAATCGCTGGAAACACTAGCAATCAACCACCGCAGCCATTCCGACGAACGCTAGGTTTCAAACGATGATGTCGTCGGATCTATCTCTAACCCTAATCAAAATCCGTCTCCACAACCGAGATCTGAAGACGAAACGAGATCTAAAGGCAAAATATCGATTTCTAGAGTGTATGTGTCTGTTCGTGTTTGAAGGCAAAAATCGATTTCTTTCCCCTGAATTCTGGCATTTGTCTATTAGCTATGAGATGAACATAAGATCTTCATCTTCATATTTCCCCTGATTTCTTCATCTTCATCTAGTTCCCAAATATTCATCTTGTTCAGCCTTGTCTGTATGTGTATGAATAAGGAAGATAGAGAAAAAGAAAAGAGAGAGAGAAAGTGAGAGAGTGTATGAATCTGGTTCAAACATTCATCAGATGGTAGTGATGATATTCCATTTTTCTGAAAATCAGAATGATGAAGATGGGTTTTGTGGAGAGAGAGAGAGAGAGAGAGAGAGAGAGAGAGAGAGAGAGAATGGGGATGGTGGGTAGGGTGGGGGATAATTTTTTTCTTTTTTCTTTATTTTTTAATTAGAATACTATTTACAATAATTATAAAAAATACAAAAAAGAAAATAAAAGGGCATAATCGTCTTTTCAAATTTTTTTGGACCAAAATCACGGAAATATTTTGATTTTGGACCTTCAATGCAAGTGGAAAAGTTTTTGGACCCCATCCAAAGTTTTTTGAATACCACAGGGACTAAATTTGCAGTTTTGTCAATTTAAAATCATAAACTAAGTGAAAAAAAGATATTAAAAATGGAAGACTAGTTTTTATATTAAGAATTTATATATATATATATTTTGAACCATAAGGATGCTCTTTATCATTTTCTTTATAGGTTGGATCAAGTATATGGTACTATCAAATCATATGGGCCATTTATGATATATTTATATAGTATTAGTTATATTCGTTAGGAATTATAAATTAATTGTTAATGTGTAAATGGATTATAAAAATGTTGTTATTTCAATGATATGAGCAATAATTACCAAAGCTGATGGACGATAATTACAAAAAATAATGTGATATAACTAAAATATTAAGCTATGTAGTGTGGTGCTTACGCACCATGCGATATGCTAACGTTGAGTGTTATAACTTGTGAATATCATCCCTACCTTGTATTATGCATGAGTGGTCTTATGGATTGTGGAGCGACTTACATCTTCCCTCTTTAATTGTTTTATATTTTCTGTTTATATAATTATTATTTTTAAATTAAATAATTAAGAGTGTTTTGGATGATAGAGTATTAGAATCATGTAGAAAGGTATTTGGCTATGTGGTCATCTCTGCCCTATGACTTTGTGGCTATCCATAAGTACTTTTATGTTATTTCCTAACCTTGGTGAGGATTATGTAGATATGTGTTTAGCTATGTGGCTATCTCCTAACAATCCTATCATGCACTATGTACAACCTTATATTCATTACACTAAGGCCATCCCCAATGGGGATTTAATTGTGAATTTAATGGGGAAAAAGGGAGTTTAATACATAAACTCACCATTGTGGGTGGAGTTCAATGAAGTGGGGTTTAATCCCCACTGAACGCCGGTATGCAATTTTTTTTTAACCATTTCACCCAAGGTTGTCAAGATCGGGATCCTACCTATGATCGTTTTTGGGTTTGCAAGATCGGGATCGAGATCCTAAGATCCCACAAAATAGAATATAATTTTAATTTATAATATTTAATCATGAAAAATGTTTCAAACATTTAATTTTTCGTTCAAAAGTTATAAAAACTTCAAAATATTAGTCATAAGTCACAATAAAAAATGATAAATTGTTGATTGGTAAAGGGTAAAAGACATAAAATGGTAAAAAAAATTTCATTTGCAAAAAAAAAAAAAAAAAAAAAAAAAAAAAAATCAAGGGAAGGTAGGATCGGATCGGATCTCGATCCTACGATCCTACATACGATCTTACGATCCTACCTGCGATCCTACACCAAATACAACCCTTTTACGATCCGGATCGTTTTTCATACCTAGGATCGTACGATCCTACGATCAGGATCGCGATTTTGACAACCATGATTTCACCAATAAAACTTTGTATTTAAATAATTACATGTATATACACAATGTATATGTCATTATTTTCTTATTTATAATATTTGTAATTTACTTTATGTTATATTGAATAATTTAAATCATCAAGGTAATTTATATTATAATATTCTAAACAAAAAAATATTTCAATCTTAAAAATATTTTAAAACAATAACATATACAACAATCATTAATTAATAATTTACAATTTGTAACTTTTAATTTCTAATTAATGTAGTATTATAGTTTTACAATATTGTTTATAAAAAGATATAATTAAATGTTGATGTGGAAATTCATTAAAATCTTAAGAGTTTAATGAAGTGTAGAGTTTAATGGATAAAATGATATAGTTAGTGGAATGCTGATGTCCCGATCCATTAAACTCTTAAGAGTTCAATGCACCGGAGATGGCTTAAGCTATAATGTTATATAATGCTGACATGTCATATATTTTTGCCAACGTATCTTTTGTTTTAAAATTTCGAATTGTATTTCTCGCCAACATAAAAATTCACATGTAATCGATAATCAATTTTTTGAAGGTTAAAATAGACATTTTATACTAACCTGTTCACAGATGGTAAGATTACTGGAATACGCCACCCTGAAACGGCAGTTCTCCACCTTCTCACACTCCCTTTCAAAAATCTCCACCACCGCCGTCTCATTTCTGAATGATCTCGGCCCCGTTCTCATCAATAACGTCAACCCAATGTCGCCGTCGGTACGATCCACTTCAGCACCACACATCATCCTCGCCTTGCATCGAATCAGATCATAAACCTCCATCCTCCTCTCCCTCGACATCCCTCCTTCGTTATGCCTCATCACCACCGCCTCCTCATAACAAAACGTCGATTGCTCATGGCCGCCGTCATCGAACTTCTCAATGTTCATTGCCCCACCGAACGTCGCCTCCATAAGCGTATTCAACCACGGGCTCATTCCAGTTCGAACCTCACCCCAGTGGTATAAAATCCACCGATTGGGCAGTGCGCACTGGTTTTTTAAATGCCACGCAACGAACGGGAAAAGGGATGATAATCCGTGCCAGATGTTACTGAAATCGTAGTGGTTGTAGGATACGAACGTCCGGCCGGTGACGAGGGTGGCGTTTTTGGGTAGGAATCCAGGGTACGCTAGTGCATAGTAGTTCCATGATCCGTCGTGATTGTCGTGACCCTTGATGCAGAGAATCCGGCCATCGGATGACTTTGAAGGGAATTGTTGGTATTGAACTTCACCTTCTTCATGTGTGTCGTAGAGGGAGCTCATGAACCATGTGTGGCCCACGAGAGCAGCGTTCGCAAACCGGAGGTCTTTCAATGGAAGGAAAGTAATGGATTCTCGAAGCTTATCGCCCATGGATTCGAGATCTGGAGCGCATGATGAAGGAGAATCGTCGTTGGTTGTCAGTTTTTCTTGCCAGTTATGGAGGAAGGAGAGGGAATTAGGTGAAGATGGTAATGGAGTTTGGAGGATTTGAATGTGGAAGACGACAAAAAGGGTAACGCAGATTGAGCAAAGGTAGACGGAGAGTTTTGGAGAGAAGAAAGATGAGCGGCTGGTGACGACGGCGGTGGCGCGTGGTGACTGTTTGTGGTGGTATGGCATTTCTAAATTTGGGGTGGTGGAATTTTGGTGAGGAGAGGACACTGCGGTCATTGTATGGAGATTGAGTATGAGTTTGCTATTAGAATTTAAGGCAATTGAAAAATATTAATAAAATAATTTCATTCACAATGGATTGCAAAAGAAGTGTATTTGTATATAAAGAAGAGAAATAGAAGTGTTTTAATGCTATCAACTTGTTAAAAAAATCATTTTTATATTTATAATTTATAGTTAAAAAATGTTTTGAAATATTATTTATTTTTTTAATTTTTTTAATAATCGTGCTCATTGTGGTTTTTGAGTAGTTTTTGACCAACAAGTTGTTGGGTTTTCAGGCATGAAAGCATGATACAAGAAATAAAAATATAACAAAATGTGGGAAAAGGTACAATTCCATTACCATATCAAGCCACCCTCATAATTTCCACACCTTTACCGCTTTACGTATGATGATTCGAATGGTTAACTAATATATGTTGAATTCTATAGATATATTTAAATTAATACTAGTATATTATAATGCATTTTTTTATGCCGTTCAAAAATAAAAATAAAAATAAAAAGTTTTTAATTTTAAATCAAAACAAAAATCTAGTGTTAAAATAAAATTAGTTATAACATTGTTTGAGATACAAAAGTACAGTTCGAAACAGAGACGATGAAGATACCTTCGGAATTTGATTTATTGAATATATAATATATTACATGTAAAAAGTATATCATATATTGCAAAGATTTTTCACTCTTATATGGATATATTGAAAATAAAATCCAAAATATGTACATGCATTAATTATAAGTGAGGGTTGTAAATTACTTGTGAAGGGTTGGCATAACGTATGCAAGAACTCTCGCAATTTTAGGATTCTTTTTTAAGTTGAAGCAAGCTAATTAAAAAAGGATCCAAATCTCTATAAATTAAATATTCTTTTTTGTTCGTTAAGAGTATACGGCGTGGGTCACAACGAGAAACGAATTGGCTGAGTTGTTGGCACACGAAAACGGCGTCACGACGCGGGGAACACCGCCCCCCAACTCGTTGAAGCTCGTTATGTTGCATCTTGTGGTAACGAGGACAAGATAAAACAAGAAAGATGATTGGCTATCTCCTTCATCAACCAATCAAATAATTTTCTCTATTTTCTTACTCTACCTCTTAACATGATATAACATGTGGAACACCATTTCCCCCTTGGTGTTATGGATGAGGTGGCACCAATTTGGTGTTACATTCAGTTGCCCACACCCAATGTTCTAATAACTCTTTTAGTTGACTAAATATATAATAAAAGAACAGGTTGTATAAGTAAAATATAAAAGATGGTAACTAATTATGTATTTTTAAATACGATGCATATAGGATCCGAAATACAGTCCTCATCGACTCATGGTTGATCTTCGGGGATGAATATGATATGGGAAAGAAATAAAGGAAATACTTGTTAATTTTTTGGAAAGAAAATATGGACTATGTAGTGTAAATATATGTGGAGCCATAAGATTGTCTCTTCAAAAGAGCTATTGTGAAGAGAAGGAGAACTTCAACATATATAGCCACTTATAAGACCGTGTTGCAACGATGTGAGATACACTAACATTTCCTTTTAGAGCCGGAGGCTCAATGAGGATAGATAGGGATGTGTTGAACCATGGGCCACGTGGGGTGCAGGACACAGACTCTGATACCATGTAAATATATGTGGAGCCCAAAATTGTCTCTCCAAAAGAGTCATTGTGGAGAGAAGGGAACTCAAACATATATAGTCACTTATAAGACCATGTTGCACGATGTGGGATACACTAACACTCCCTTTAGAGCCGGAGGCTCAATGAAGATAAATAGGGATGTGCTGAACCACGGGGGTTGTAACATCCCCATTTTCACGGCCAGAAAAGACCGATTTTGTTTATGCTTTGTTTAAAAATCAGAGTAACATTTTAAATAAAAGTGTTGCGGAATTTGTTCCCAAAAAAAACATGATAAATGTGTTATGAAAGCATTTCCGAAGAAATGTATTTTTATTCCTTTTAAAACCTTGGGATGTCATTGTCAATACAGAAACATAACCATAAACAGAACTTACATTCATTTACACTAGTGATCTACATCTCTTTTAAATCTCTTAGTGTAAAGTGGCTTCATATCGACACCTGTGATACAAATAAGCCTGAGTGGGTCAGGTTGGGAAACCTGGTGAGTACATAGGATTTTCAACCCACAATAATATAATTATTATGTTTAAACATCAAACAATCAGTCCAATTACCCATCCCCATTATATTCCTTACTCTTAAGAATCTACCCTAAGAGTCATCTATCTTGCATTCGTTTATTCCGAAGTCCCTTGCTTCCAGGGTTATAAGACATGCACTAAGTCCATAGCTGCCAATGCTCATTCGTAAAGCACTAAATCCATAGCTGCTAAAATTCATTCATCGGGTACTAAATCCATAGCTACCAGTGTTCATCTAATAGGTACTAAGTCCATAGCTACCCATGTTTATCTATCAGGTACTAAGTCCATATCTACCAACGTTTATCTATCAGGTACTAAGTCCATAGCTACCAACGTTTATCTAACAGGTACTAAGTCCATAGCTACCAACGTTTATTCAATAGGCACTAAGTCCATAGATACCGATGTTATTTGTTAGGCACTAAGTCTATAGCTGCCAATGTTCACTCATATCATCTTTCACCTCTCATCGTTCATCTACCCATGTTTTCCCCAACATATTCGTAGATATAAAATACATATACAGTTTAAATTATTTAAAACATGTATAAAATCGTTCATCCAGCATAGATAACAAGAATACAGATAATATGCACACATAGCACGTAATTTATATAAAATACTTCATATCTATGTGTAAGATGAAAGTAACTATGCACTCACTTGATAAGGTGGTGACTCGGTACTCGGACAGCGCTTCGTTTACTTTAAAATAATTTCCTTCGACGATACCTAGTATTATTACCACTAGATTTTAGTCTAATATTTACCGTGACTAATTATTAGTCTTATTATTATTATATAAGCGTTTAAACAATATTTTCCAACCACTATGTACAGACAGGGGCCAGACATAAAACACCGGAGAGCAGGATCATTTTGGCATATAGCACTTTTGAAATCCAACAACTCAGGCGGCCCTTCAAACCGGATTCCCCGTACCACGAGTGGTTAAAAAGATATTATAACGACACTTATATAACCCATAATAATAGCTCAAATAATTATTGTAAGGTCCTAATAACATTACTATATTTAAATAAAAGCTATATTAAAAATTAGGTAGACGTATCTTACCTACGAGGGGGTTTGGCTAGAAGCTGTGCTATGCAGGGGCAGAACTTCCGAGCCGAAAGCTCTTCTTCTCGGAGTCGTCGAGCGCTCCGGGGCTTTCTTCTAGCGCTAGGGGAGTTTTGTTTTGGATGCCACATCGATCTTGGTTTTCTAAACCGAGTAACTCCCGTTGTAGCTTTTATCATAGCCAGACTCAATTTGCTATAGCCACTAGGTTCGGAATAACATTCATCTTCTTAGTCATTACCGCAACAATGATAACGATGAATGTGAACAAAACAAATTCAATTACTAGTGCTTTGGTAACCTTTTGACTTTTCCTAATCCAAGTGTGATACCTGTGCTTCCGGTAGTATAGGCCTCTACTACCTTTCACATCTACTCATACTCATCCCAAGTATTGTCTCATAGTTCACCAAGTCACCACACAAGAAAATCATATAACAACTCAATACATCGAGTATGTACAATAACCAAGGATTATATTACTTCTTGAAAATGATTACATGATTTATTTATACTATATGTGTATTACATCAGGCCACATAAGCTAATACTACTCATTCATCTCATTCTTTCAAGTACTCCTGACAAGCAGCACCGAATTCTTGCCCTCTTTTTTCTTCATCAAGTATCATGTGGTACGCTCTTGCCTTTGCCTTTGGTGGCACATTCGGCCTTGTTGATTTGTTTTTCTTTGGACAATTCTTCGAGATATACCCATTACCTACACATTTGTAACACTTCTTGTCATCGAATATACAATCTCTGGAATAGTGACCAAATCTTCTGCATTTGTAGTAGGTCACCTCCCCATCGTATCTCCCAAAGTGCTTCTTCTTGCACTTATAAAACCACCTTGGTTCAAAATTTCCCCTAGATTTTTTTTCGTTTGGGCCAGTCTTTGAAAATCTACTCTTCTTGTTGAAATTTAGGATTCCTTCACTCTTCCACTTTTTGTTAACTTCAGTCTTGTCGGCGTCTCTTGCTTTGATCATGCTTTCCACAGACCTTACAGCCCAGACTTCTTCTTCGAAAATAGAAGCCTACTTAACAGGAATAGTGTACTCCCATGGTAGTCCCTTAGAGTACATATCCATTTTTGTAAGCTCGTTGGGCACAAGGTGCAAGGCGAAGTACATTTTGTATGTGAAAGCATTGGTGTATTCCTCAACTGACACGATGCCCTTCTTTAGTGTCAGAAGTTGGTTCTCCAGCTCTAGCATGTTTTGGGCTAAGCAGTACTTGCGCTTGAAGTGAACTAAGAATTATATCCATGTCAGGTTTAGTGGATCGTTAGGGCTTAAAATCTTTCCTAACATATTACACTAGCGAACAACCCCGCCTCTGAATTTTCGCACCGCGTAAGTGGTCTGTAACTTGCCTTTGCAACCACAAGTTATGAAAGCCAACTCCATCTCAGAAATCCAATCCATAACTTCGATCAGACCTTCCTTTCCACTAAAATTCGATGGTTTGCAAGTCGTAAATTCCTTGTAATTGCATACATTCCTTTCAATCTACATTTCAGGGTCATTCCTCTTAACCACTTGGGGTTCCATACGACTCACTGCCCTACTAGGAGTCATCACCTATCATTTTCTGGTATATTTCCATCGTTAAAGACATCTCCTAATATTCGTCACCTGTCATCACAATTTATATTTTCATTGCTAATGTATTTTCCTAGTGTTCATCGCCTAATCATCGCATTGAATATACGGTTCTTACATCACCTGAAATTGTAATTCGTTGGTAGAGTGCATCGTATGAATACACGGTTCCTACATCGCCTAAACTTGTAATTCGTTGGTAGAGTACATCGCATGAATACACGGTTCTTACATCGCTTGAACTCGTAAATTCATCACTTACAGGTTGTAAACATGTCGGTGTTCCACTGGACTATTTAGATTAGTGTGTGGTTGTCATCTATACTCTGGTAGATGACTACATCGCAATTATCGCAAGTAAGGGTCAGGGCATCTCCTAATCATTTTCCATTTCTCATCTCCCATCTCTCATCACCTATCACTACCATATATATACATATATATATATATATATATATATATATATATATATATATATATATATGAAAATACTTGTATAATAAATCGAGTAAAATCATATCATATGAGTTCATCAACACATATTGCAAATAATAGGCTCACATAGGATTTAATTATCTGAATACTTCATATCTATGTGTAAGATGAAAGTAACTATGCACTTACTTGTTAAAGTGGATGATTGAAAAGTAGGGCAGCGATTCACTTCGGTACTTGGATTTTACTTGTGATGCGATCTTGGTTCATATTACTAAGTCTTAGTTTTATAAGTTTGGCGACTAATGATAGTCTAGATTCCTCAAGAATCCCAATTTCTACATCAAGATCTATCAAGTAAGGAAAAACTAGGTATGATCATATCAGATGTAGGGTCCGTTTGGTATACATAGTATACTGTTTGGAAATCCTACTTTAAACACCTGACTAAATCCAGCCTAGACATCATCCCCGTAAGTAGATCAATCAATATAATGACGTTGGAATCACCGATAAATCATAATTATAGGCTCATAATAACGACTATGACTACAATTAAAATTAACACTTGAATAAAATAAGTGTAGCTTAAATTACAAAGTATTCTGATGAAAACCAGGGATTATGTGGGCAGAACTCTGATCCGGGAGCTTCTATTCGCCATCTATCTAACACCGCAAGGCTTGGCTAAAGGGGTCGAGAACTTCTAGAGTAAAAGGGTGTAAAGATACGAGAGGAAATCCAAAGGTTTACGGGTGAGGGATGTGAAGAATGAGGCTGAAATCGAAGGAAGATATTAGTCAAAATCTGAGTGCACGCTGCGCATACGGTCGGATGTGAACACGTGTCGTTCTCTGCGTGGTGCCATGTGTCACATTTTTGGTGGAGTGTCAGTGCGCTCTACGCAAGCTGTTTGTGCGCGCGGGCACACGGGAAGAATTTGTTTTTTTTTTAGAAATTTTATATCTTCTTCATACGAACTCCGTTTTCGAAGGGTTTTATATCCACACGTAGTTATCGATGTGATTTACAACTTTCATTTAGACTCCGTCTGCTAAATTTGACTTTATTTTTATTGTTTTTTTATTAACATGCTTATACTCCATTATTGACTGTCTTTATATCAACAAATAAGTAATGACGATATCTTCAACTCTCATTTAGATTTTTTCGTAACAATGACCAATTTCAGTTTCGGTTTCTGAGTCGTATAGTGCTACGCTGAAATGTTAGAAAAATCATAACTTCATCTCACGAAGTCAGATTTAGGAATTTTTTATATAGACGGAATCCTTGTCACATATACTATAACGTTGGTTAAGATTATTTATCCTAAATAATCTTCGATCAGAAAGTCAATTTTAACACTTGTAATATTCAATTTGACTAGACAGAATCTGTGGGTGTTACAAGAGCAGCTGAGGACCAAGAGGGTGAGATATCGGGCTTATTGGGATCGACCAATGAGGCAAAGGGATCGGAAGAGAGCGACTCGTGAGGAGTCTGCTCTACAAGAGTCAAGTCGTCAAGAGGGTTTTCGGGTATAGAAGTATCCGACATGGAGGAGGTTTTATCGAGGTTGGGAGATGTTAGAAGTGCATGCTCGATAAACGAGTAGGAAGGAGAGTTGTTGGGGGCCATGGACCCAAAAGGAAACACAGTCTCGTCAAAAATCACGTGTCTAGAAATGATAATTTGTTTTTTATGAAGGTTTAGACATTGATATCCTTTATGGTTTGAGGTATATCCAAGAAAAATACAGGGAGTAGAACGCGGGAAAATTTTATGGGGAGTGACGGTATGAGGAAAACAAAGGCAACCGAAAACACACAAATTATCATAAGTGGGAGTTTTGGTGTATAACTTTTGAAATGGAGTGTCATTTTTTATGTTGGTGGTTGGAAGGATATTTAGGAGATGTTCAGCCATTAAAAGGGCTTCAACCCAATATTCAAGAGGAAGACGAGCTTGAAGAAGAAGGGTACGAACAATATTGTTGATGGTGCGTAAGATGCGTTCAGATTTACCCTTTTTTTAGGATATGTGAGGACAAGAAAAACACATGTGAATGCCATTTGTATCACAAAGTTGTTGGAATTGTTTGTTATGATATTCACCACCATTGTCGCATTATATGGTTTTAATGTCGATGTGAAATTGGTTAAGAACAATGGCACGAAAATGGACAAATTTAAAGAAGACCTCATCTTTGACCCGTAAAGGGTACACCCATAGGTAATGCGAATAATCATAAAAAAATATGACATAATATTTTATCCCACTAATACTAGTGACCGGGGAAGTCCAAACATCAGAATGAACAAGCTCAAAAGGAGAAAAAGTAATGGAATTAGATAAAGTAAAAGGTAATTTGACATGTTTGCCCATTTGAAAAGATTCACACAAGTTTGACAATTTATTATTGGAACATGAAATAAAATGACTATCAATTAATTTATTAGTAGAAAGTATACATGCGTTTGAATGAAGGTGTGAGGTGGCCACATTATCCATATACCATCCCGTGTTGCCCGGATCCGAAAAGGACATTGTATTGAACATTTAGGGCAAAGTACTGGGCTAATCAAACCCAAATTGTTGTTGTTGGGCTGTGTTGGGTTGGGGTTATCGCATTAGGTGGCCCAAAAAATAATGGGCTTGATTGGTAGCACTTTTGACACCGGGTGAAGCATGTTAGGCCGATGAATTTGGACTGGGCAAAAGACCACGATAGTGGTGTTGGGACGTCACAACAGTAGGATCGAGGTGGTACCACCCATACGCCTGACCAGGTGAGTTTTGCAGGGGACCGGTAAGTTGGTTGTCCACTGTCGGAGCAAAGATCATCGGAACAGCCTCCTCTGCCCTGATTCCGGCCACCACTATTGTTGCCACGTGAAGAATTTCCCCCATGAGAGGAGTATTGGAACGTGTCATCTGTTGCTAACACGTGAGGAGAAGAAGAATGATCAGTGTGAGAAGTCATATAGTTCTTGTTGTGATCATGCATGAGTTCTTGTTCTTCCACAGCAAGCATAAAGCGAGCCTTCATGAATGATGGAAACGACTCAGTGTGACAGGTGGTAATGGCGATGTACGAGAACTTGGAGGACAAGCCACTGAGTAGATGAGACAGCAAGTTTCGATCAGTTACCGAGGCTCCAAGGTTCTCAAGTTAATCATCAATCTTCTTGATACGAGCACATTACGTGGAAACCGAAGAATCCCCCATGGTGATGTTGCGAAGTTCAGTCTCCAATTGATGTGCTCGGGATTCTTTGTTGTCACGAAACAATGTTTCCAGGCTATTTCAAAGACCATAGTATGCCACCTTTTTCTTTAATACCATTTCTAGAAGAGATGTGGAAAGGGTGCTATAAATCCATGACTTGACAATGGAGTCATGGCGAGTCCATTAAGAAGAAGATGAAGCTTTTCCATTAGGAGGTTTGAGATGTTGATCGTGACCAAACCCAATACAGTGGGTTTCGAATAGTTCTTGCCATATATCATAGTTCATTTGATCAAGATCCAAGACCAAAGGAACATCAAGCTTAATGTTAATGGAAGAGGAAGGTTTTTTAGTGGGTATTTGATCATCAGTGCCCATCGAGAAAGAGAAGAAGAATCGGAAAAAGACAAGATGACGATGAGAAAAGGTAGCAGGACGACAAGGTAGGGTTAGGATACCTAGTCTTCTGATACCATGCTTATTGGATATTTTCTCATGAACCATACTTTCATTCAGTCAAATATAAATAATACACAAGAGTAATAACGGACGACTACATGGCCGAATACATGATGGGCTATGCTAAAGAATATAGACCACACTAAATGACTAAAACTAATACAACATAATAATACAAATATACATAGTCTAACACTACTCACTATATTTGATAGTGACGAGTTTGTAATGAACGTTCAATAGTTGAGAGAGTCGTGCTACCCAACCCTAGTACGTTCAATGTAGTACGTTGTTTGAGTGTTTGAGTGATATTTCTTTTGAACATCATGCCACTCCAGGTTTAAAATTATCAGATTCGGATTTGGGGTAACTTCATTTTAAAATACCTTCATAGAGTGGGTGTTGTCGTGGTATTATTTGTAAGGCAATCTTTTGGTTCAATAGTATGTTAATGTGACGATCTACAAATCAAGTTTTCTCAGGACTGATAAATTAAAAAGAAATATCAATTTAATTTAAAATTAGCATGGGCCTGGGTGTCATGACTTATCTAGTTATTATATTATAGGGTGGGATATACTTCTCTCCCGATGCCATGATTGATTGTCAAAAGCCGACATAAATATTGGATTTGGATCCTACTAAATCAAAACTAAACTCGTATTAAAAAAAAAATCCAAAATAAGCAAAGGACGAACTAAAATAGGTTTTCGATTACGAGTTTGAACCGGGAAAGAGCTGCAAATATATTTCCACCGGCACAATTGGAGAAAACGGTTGACTTTTGTATTGAAGTAAATGTTGACTTTGACTACAAAATTGGATAAAAATAATTTCAGAAGTGGGATTTGAACCCACGCTCTCTTTCGAAGACCAGAACTTGAGTCTGGCGCCTTAGACCACTCGGCCATCCTGACGTTTTTGTTTGTTTCCCTGATACATATCAAATATACTTTACTTGATACATATGAGATGTTGGAAACCACAATTAACTGCTACAAAAATAATAGAAAACTTAAATAGCAAAAGTTATTCAAATACAAAAAAATGTAACTTGATAACGTCGTGAAATCTTTGAATAATAATATAAGCTTCGTAGCAAAGAAATGTGAAAATACTCAAATTTAGAGGGAACCAGAAAACTTAATCATAGTCTTTGGATCAAATTTATCTAACAAACGCAATTTGCTGGAGACAATTATTTTTTAAACAACTGTAACTGTCCAATCTCGGCTATTGATTATTTTCAACTAATTAAGTTTATTAATTCACTAAAAAATTGAGTTCTCTAATCATATTTTTATTATTTATATACTGAACACTTGTAACAATATTTTTATCAATAGAACTTCCTTTTACATGCGGCCGTGCATCTAAAAGTCACGAACAATGAAAATACAAGTTCTTTGGTATAAACTTATCTTATTTTTTTGAACGACTTAATTTTTATATATAGAAAACTCACACTAGCAAGAAGCTAGGGAAAAAAAAAAAAAACAATTACAAAAACAAAGAGCTAGTTGGGTTTTTTAACCAAGAAATGCAAAATCATATTTGTTTTTATAACCAAACCACAAGAACAAGAATTGTTTAGGGTTTAGGGTTGAGATCCCATTTTTTTTAAAGTGGATTAGGATTGACGTTACTGTCAATACGACAAAATTATAATTTTATCTCACAAAAAGGCTCAACAAGATTGGAAATATGTTTGTTCTTGATCTCTTATATATACAAAAACATGAATATCTTTCTTATCTTTAAAATCCAAAATATATGTACAAATCTTTGTCGGTGTTTTGTGGGCATCGAAGTAGGCCCCACGTTCTAATTAAACAATACTTATAATTTTTATCCCGCATAAAAACGTGAACTGTCTAGCCATCATAAAGGGTTTTGCTAACGATCTTTCATCTTTATAAAAAGATGTGAATACTCTCCTTGATAGTTGATCTTACAATCAAGAACAACCATCGAAAGTTAATCTAGTCCTGTCCAATTCTTTCCCCCAACCAAACGCCATGAGTATGTATGCATACCAAAAAACAAAATACAAAATTTATGCAATAAAAACAATAGCATAAATACAAATCAGGGTGTGTTGCAACATCGACCACTCACTAACATTGACATCACATGGGACACACATACACTTATTAATTCTTCATACACGAACCTGGTCCAAACAAGTTTTCCTGTATAGTTTGTTGCTTTGTTGCATTTCCACATACTCCTTGTACTTCATCGGAACAAATGTTGCTGGACACCTTTCTTCATCCACCAACTCGTAAGCCGGCCTCACTGCTGTATCTGGCGACGGCCCATGTGCTACAGCCACTGATATCCTTGTGAAAGCATTATTTACAACCGCACGATGCTCCACACTTTTGTACCTCCCATTACTAAAAATCTACACACCCAAAAAAACATTATCAACAGATACTTAGGCACGTTTGTTACAAAAGACATGACATAAATAGGTTTTGTTGTGTTTGGGTGCACAAACTTCAATAAAAATAGCATTTTTTTGGCCCTGCCAAAAAATGGGATGTTCTCTTACTCTCAATATGTCAAATCTGATATAAAAGATGTGAATACCTTCATTATTTTCATAATTGAAAATAATCCTAGAAAAATCGTGGAGTCCAGTCTTGTCACATGTAATAAAAAATACTTAGGTACCTCAAGGTGATCTGCAGTATTGACTAGAAACGAGCCGGGAAGAGTATTGTTCACATTGACCCATTGACCATTGTGCTTAATTTGAAGTCCGCCTATGCCATTTTCTATGAGGAATGTAAGGAGGCCGTGATCCGAATGAGGTGGCAACCCTATTGCAAGATCGGGTTGTGGGCAAGGGGGGTAAAGATTGACAATACATATCTGTAAACTCGATTCCAGTTTCAAAGCTTTTTCTATGCAAGAGTGGTCGAGTCCTAGACTCATTGATATCCCACTAAGTAACCCTCTTGCTACTTCTCTAGTTCTTTTTGTGTACTCGAATAGAACATCACTGCAACACAAGAATCATATCAAAGTTATTACATTTAACCTCAAAAGGTAATGGCGTAATGCCAAAACCATGTTTCTTTTTCCCCTGTTTGGATAAAATATTTTCTATACAAATGATTTACAAAAATTATTTAAGAAGATGACGACACAATTGAAAAAAATGAATGGAAAGAATAGACCGAGTCAAAATTTTAAATAAATGATGCCGTCTAAAACATGATATATATCTCTTTTTTTCTGAATGAACCGTGTGAATGGAATTTGATTTATTTTCACGATTGTATTTTGTTGACCAAATTAACACACTCACGATAAGATGAGTTGGAAACGAATTTGATTAACACCCTTCAATAACAATAGAATACTGAAACCTTTTGACAAGAAACAAATATATAGTTTTAGCATGAAGGGATATCAATGGAACTTAAAAGAATGAAACTGGTTACCTGAACCCCAGGGGCTTGTTCGGTGAGTGAAACTCCGGGTGTACAATAAGCTTGAGAAAATCTCTCCAGCAAAAAAACTTTTCCTTCTTAGTATTGAAGCTTGTTCCATATCTGATTGGATCACGAACATCCTTTTCCTCAAAATCTTTCTTTTCTTCATCTGTCAGTTCAAAAAATTCATCCGATTTTTCTATAACCATGTTCATCAAAGTCTCGGGAACGCCATGATTAATCACCTAAACAATTTAAAACCATCAAAAAGAGCTTAAGAACAATCTGCAGCCATATTTTAAGCGACTGAGTTCAAGATAGATAGCAAGAACCTGAAAAAATCCCCATTCAGTGCAGGCTTTATCAAGGTCTTGGATAACTTGACACCGTAGGGTAGGATCAGGGGACGTGAGCAATGAAAAATCAATGACAGGGATCGAATCTTGAGGATCTGAAGCAGGGTACTCGTTAGAGTTTGTGGAGTAGGCGTAGATAGAAGGGATGGACTTGAGATCAGAAGATTCGGTTAATCTTTTAACGGAGTTCATCTTCAAATGCTCAACATATATAAGTTATACACACTGTAAACCGGCATATATATTTATACACACAGAAAATACATACAATAATATCATAAGACCAATCAATGAAGCATGCATGCATGAACATTGGTTGCCACATGTGATGGTCGTCTTCATATCGGCCCACACTAAATATCTACCGGACTATCCCTGCTAGCTGTCTAACCGTCTGCCCATATTGACTACCTTTTTAGCGGTACAAATTATGTTGGTGATTTTATATCATCAATATTATTTAAGTATAATAGGATTAAATTTGTTGACCAAAAGTGATCTTGTTGAATATTGAACAAGTTAGGATGGTGTAGGAGTGCACACTTGTTCAAGTTTTTCAAGATTCAAAGTACATTGTTATTTAGGGGCGAAGCCCCTAAACGAACGGGGGGTCCCCTGGCTATATTAAAAAATGCATCAAAAATCCAATTTTAGAAAGTTGACCCTTTTTTCCCTGAGATCCGTTTAATGACAGGTTTGGTAGTTTTATGACAGTTTGTAACTGTCTATTGACAGTTTTCAGACAGGAATCATATATCCGTTTTTGGTCATTTTTCTGGTACATCTTGAAGAACATTTTCACATACATTCTCAGATTTCATTCTCTGAATTTCATCCAATTGAGTGTTCGATCTGTACCATCGAAATATTTCAATTTAATAGTGAATCACGACTTTCAGAGAATCCAAGCAATCTATTCATTCCCTAATTTCTAACAAATTACAAAATAACTACCTTTTTTGACATTAGTGCACGAAGGATCATTTTCGCAAGTGGTCAAATTGCAAGATCCTACATAGTTGCAAAATATGCTTTTCAGAGAAAAATGCGAAGATTTTTATTAGGTTTTGCAATTTTGGAGACGAGAAACACCCGTAAGTCAACAAGGTGGGATTTCATAGTTAATTCACCAAACTCATATTCCATTACATCTTTTATTTGAAATATACTAGTCATTTTTTAAAAATGTGTGTTAACTCATCCAATAAAAACAGGCAAAGGTAAAAGAGTAGCAAGGTCCTATAGGCATGCGGTCCTACAGTGGGGCAGCTGCCCCTACAACAACAAAAAAATAATAATTAAAATATAGGTTTTTTTCAAAAAAAATATTATATTTTAACCCTTCAAAATTATATATTTTGCCTCTTCAAAATATTTGACCCCCATGAAAAGTTATATAAAAAATAAAAAAAGAATAAAATAACAATATGAATTATTCGAAAATTCAAGATGACTATAAAGGCTTATAAGAACCCTTTATAAGGGTGGTGCTAAATTTGGCGGGTACGGTCAAATTTAGAAAACTGAATTGACAATTAATTCTAAAAATTAACCTTCTAAATAAGAAAGGGAATTTCAGAAAATTAAAGAAAACGGATATCATGTCATTAACACAAAATAAAATAACAATATGAATTATTCGAAAATTAAGGAAACATATATTTTGTCATGAAAACAGAATATATCATGTTTTAAGATTGCCCCTTTTGGCCCCGTTTGTCTTTCTCCCACTAAACGCTTCTGCCAGATCATCTATGTGCTCCGCATCATTCCCCCTCACTTGAGAGGAACTCGGGCTCGAGTTCTTGGGATAGATAGGTTCCTCTTGTGGGTAATACTTGTAAATATCGGAGAAGTTGAAAATTTTAGAGATGGACATTGAATTTGGAAGATCGACAACGTAGGCGTTATCATTAATCTTCTGTAAAACTTTGTAGGGACCATACTTTCATTGGCCCAACTTACTATAAGTGCCCACCAGGAAGCGCTCTTTTCGAAGGTATACCATCACCTCATCTCCCACCTCAAATAACTTGGGATGCCAACGTTTGTCAGCAGCTACTTTGTACTTAGCATTAGATTGAGCAATCTTCTCTCTCACCTCTTCATGAGTCTTCTACATGTCTTATATAATTTTATTAGTTTTATCGTCATTTTTCCCTGGCAGCTTAACCAAATCCATCACCTGTCATTAGGGATGAAAGTGGGTCCAAACCCGGACCGTTGGACCCGGACCCAGAAAACCCGAAACCCGGAATTGACGGATTATAAGACCCGATAACCGGACCGGTATACGGGAACCGGTTCCGGTTCGGTTCCGGGTATCGGAGCGGGTAAAGTGGGTATGGAACCGGTTGGAACCGGAATTTGAACATTGGAACCGGAATAAGAAAACTTCCAAAAATACCCCTGCTCGTATTTGCAGTTTCTGCAACGTTACATTATTACTTCTTAAAAATCGTTCAGAATCTTGATTGAGTATTGAATATGTATAAACTTGTAATTTGTTAATATGCAAAATCAAAGTAAAACAAGAAACATAAATATTGGGCATCTTTAATAAGATTCACGATGGTGGATACGAGAAGAGTAATTCTAAAGGAATTGCTGTTTGTTTCTTGGCTTCAATAGTATATTATATTCCAAGGCCTCAAATTAAGAATAATTCATAATAATCTCTTTGTTCTTTAAAGTTAAAATAAAAGGTATCATAAGTTCCAAAAATACCCCTGCTGGGATCTGTTTCTCTGAGAAAGCTAAATTCTATTTGATGCTTTTATTTGCTTTTATTTCCATTTTTAAAAACATCTTTAAACCAACTAACCAAGCAATGATCTTGATACTCCAGGTCTCCACCCACAACAACCAGTTTGAAACTACAACTTGTAATGGGTAATCACAGCTGGGCAAAAGAACAAGCCATGACCAATATGCAAATTTCACCAAGTGGATTCTCTGCCTTTCAGGGTAATAACGAGACCATATGATCAACTCTGTTCCACCTACAAACTTCCACAACCAGATATAAATTGCTTTCACAACAATTAGCATGTAACTGACTTAGACATAAAGAAACCCAACAATAGGTTGTAAGTGTAAACCTCACATAGACCAAACGTGTAGCTTATGGCCTTGTATCACTTGCACACACAATTATGGAATACAAACAACCAACTCCAAATTTATTCCATACCAAGAAATCCATCTGTATAACATTAGTGGTAACACATACACACACGAAAAGAATTGAGTCCACACCAAGACCCAATCCCATTCCAATGAGACATGAAATAATAAAAACCAGAGATCTCTATTGCTAAAAATTCCCATATGCGCGCAGCCAAACCCCAGGGAGAAATCAAACACACACCGGAGCAGTAGAGAAATTCAACACCTAGGTAGCCAACAAGATTTTCATGATGAATAAACTTAATTTTGAAAAGACAATTCATCTTAATGGATTTATGGACTGGAGCTTAAAACTCCAGCGTCTGGTATTTAATTCGGGTTCGGTTCTTTTTTTCGAATCCGGTTCTCAAACCCGTTGGACCCATACTCGGAATACCCGGAACCCGGACAAGGCCAATTTTTAGAACCGGGAACCAGACCGTTTAAGAATTTTCCGGTTATACCGGTTCCGGTTCCCGTGCGATTCCGATTTCGGTCCGGTTTTCCGGTTCTATAGCTCATCCCTACCTATCATGGGGGTGTTTTGTAGACCGCAACAGATGGTGACAACCCAGTCAAGCTAAGAATAGCACTGTTGTAAGCAAATTTGGCTTGTGCTAAGGCTACATCCCACATCTTAATTTCTTTTATGCCCACATAAACATCGAATCATGTTGCCCAAAGTACGGTTGACAACTTTAGTCTGCCCATCAGAATGTGGGTGGGCAGTACTACTAAAGTTTAGTTTTGTTCCGAAACACCCTGTGTAGACAGACAACCTCCTGAAAGAAGAGTTTGGCCACATAGACAGCATCAGATGTCTTCTTAGAGGGTATGAAATGGGCCATCTTTGAGAATCGGTCTACAACCACGAACATTGAATCTACCCCTCTTTGGGTTCGAGGAAGGCCTAAAATAAAGTCCATAGAAATATCCTCCCATGGTCTAGAAGGAATTGGTAGGGGCATATAAAGGCCTGTGTTTTGAGCCTTTCCTTTTCCTTCTTGGCAAGCCATACACCATTGGACAAAGCTTCCCATATCTCGTTTCAATTATGGCAAAAAATTACCTCTCTTCCACTGCAACAATTATCTTATATCTTCCAATATGTCCTCCTGCATGTAAGTCTTTGATTACTTTGTCTCTGAGGGAAGTTCTAGGAAGACACAAACGATTCCATTTGAATAAATATATCCTTCTAGAATAAGAAGGTCGCCCCTGTGTTGCTTTGTGTCGATTTCCTCCCATATCGCTTTAAAAATGTCATCAGTTTCATACAACTCCTTTAGTGTTTCAAACCCAACTACTTTGTTGCTGATGGTGACAAGAAGGGTTGTTCTTCTACTAAGCGCATCTGCTACTCTGTTGGAAGCTTCAGATTTGTGCTTGATGACGTAATTGAATTTTTCAAGAAAGCTTGCCCACCTTGCATGGACCTTGTTCAAGTGCTTTTAAGTCTAGAAGTATTTGAGAGCTTGATAATCTGAATAAACCACAAACTGTCGTTGGATCAAGTAGTGTTCCGAACGCCGCATGGCTTGAACTACAACATACAATTCTTCTTCATAGGTGGACCATTTATTACGCGCTTCATTGAGTTTCTCGCTATGGTAGGCAACACGTTTGCCTTCTTGGGATACCACTGCTCCAATACCAATTCCACAAGCATCCCATTCAAGTTCAAGAACTTTGTCAAAGTCAGGCAATGAGAACTTCTCCTTGATGAGCTTGAAGCTTCAATCTGCTTCATCCGTCCACTTAAATTGTCCCTTCCTTATACAGTTTGTGATTGGGGCCACAATGCCACTAAAGTTCCTGACAAATCTCCTGTAAAAGGTGGCCAAACCATGATAAATTTGGACCTTTGTGATGGTCTTTGGGGAGAGCCAATAACGAATAGCTTTGACTTTATCGTCATCCACATGAATGCCTTTAGAACTTACAATATAGCCAAGAAAAAGAAGTATGTCAGTTAAAAACATACACTTTTTCAAGTTGGCATACAAATCATTATCTTGTAAGGTGCTGAATATGGTACGCAGATGCTCCATGTGTTCCTTCTCCTTGTG